TAATTTCACTGATTCGCTCAATGTTCTTACCTTGAAAATTAATATATTTTAAGCCGTCATCTCGTAAAATAAAAGTTAAATCCAAGCAGGGAGGTGGTGAAAGAAACAATTAAACATATTCTCGTCATTATTCCACTCAGAAATTATATCTCCAAATTACTAACATATATTTGTATTAAAAGAGTGTAAAAAAAGTACTTAAAATTTTTTATGTTTATATAATTTATGTGTCAAAAATAGTAAGAACTGTATGTGACGTTTGGAAGGCAAAACACGTAGTTATTTTAGCACTTAGAAGCTTCTCAGTCAACTCCGAGAACTACTGTGCACTTGTAGTTATGCTTGGCTTCTTTTATTATAGCAGACCAATTTCTTCTATCTTCTGCTTTTCTTCATGCTTATCTTCCTACCGGCCATGGTCCTAACATATACCTTTCTTCATTCATTCGAATTAGGTGATTCAACCTTTCCATTCATTTAACCTGAATACATGTAGATATTTTGGGAGTTTTGCATAGTTCTTCCAATGCTACGTTGGTTCGACTTCTCACGATTTCATTTTCTTTGATCGAGCCAACCTATTTACCAACTTAACCAGCCTATTCAATGAAAACGCTGTAAACGATTTGATCGTATCACGTTTGCATGACGTTGATTTGCAGGCCAGTATTTCAACTACTGCTGAGGTGATAACTACTCCATTATGGTGAGATCTCCCTTTCTGATAAACATTTAACAGTGTAGACTGCTTCTGCAGCAACATTATAATTATCTTCGACTAGAAGCCTGAATGTTCGAATCCCCGGGCCGGCCATCCTGACCGGGGTTTTCGTGGTGTCCCTCGGTCGCAAGGCGAATACTGGGATGGGACACCTCCCATTACCCCACCTAACACCTTTTACCAGCATCCTAGTCCTCTTACCTCTCATCACCCTATAATTATAGTAATGATGGTAATAGTAATAATAATAATAATAATAATAATAATAATAATAATAATAATAATAATAATAGCATCCTATCCCCCCCCAACTGATATTCAAGGCTAACAACCTTGTCTTAACCAAGCGATGCAGCCGAAAGGCTGATCCCCATAAATCCACACGTCGATCTCTCCAGGATAGAATACAACCGGGCCTCAGAGAGAGAAATGTGGTCAGTAGAGGCCCATATATATACATATAATTTGTGGTGATTAGAACATCAAATATTTGTTACTTGTTCATAAGTTCACCAAACTTCACCAGTATAATTGGAATGAAAGTTCAATTCTAAATAGTTGTGAGAGTAATGTACATCAATGATGTTAACATGGTTGAAATTTATAATGTTCATGTAATGCCCCCGGTCTATAACGAATCTGTCAATAGCTATCATTCCTTCAATGAGCCTCGCGCCGATCGGAAACAACCGTAGGGGGCCATGTGCGGTGCTAAGAACGGGATCCTTTTTTGTTACAAATGCAAACCTATTGACTTTCTCTGTGAGGCGGATAGGCAACCTTTTCTTCCTACATATTCTTACAGCGTGGGAGGGATACGACCACAGATGGTGACGTCACGTGACTGGCCAAGGAGCCGGTGCGTGCTGGGCGCCTTGCGGGCGGGGGCGTCTTCGGGCGTTCCGAGGCAGTCGGCGTACGCGGCAGAGATTGGACGCCGGGGGGTCACGTGGGTGGTTAAGTGCGAGGGTGGGGACACCGCGAGCCCTCAAATAAGCGGAACACGGAAACGTCCAAACACGTCATTTTCACGCTTTTGGTTTTCGATGTTGGCTCCTATTGGGCTCCCTTTCTTATTTTGAATTTGGCTTGTGCTAACTGACTTTTGCTGGGCGACTTTAGCATTTTTGTGCTCTTGGCTTCGGCTGGCCAAATATGGAGACTCTCGTCGTTAACTAGTCTCGACGTTGCCGTGAGATTATTCTAGGCATTGCCATGAACTTAAACTTCGTTCTGTGCGTCGTCGGGTCGCTGAGGTGCCGCAACAGAAACGGCGCTTCCCCGACCTTACTATAAACGAGGCTTTATCTAACATCGGTCGGGGCGCCCGCGAATAGCAGCCGCTGGATTCCCGGGAATTCGCAGATACGTCCGCTCATGGCAGGGACGAACTGCGACAAGTGCGGCTTTACTGAGGAGAACGACATCGCCTCAGCACCAACGCAACATCCAGCAGATTGGTGAGAAAGCCGGATGGCCGAATCTTAATTATCTTGACATCACTGGGCAATCTGCTGTTGTTATGGCGTTATATGTAGACAAGTTCAGTACTAGGATAGTAAGTGAATGAATGTATAAATTTGTTGTCTTAGTAATTAAATGAAATGTGTAATTCATAAAATCCTCTTTTACGGACCAAAGGCTCCTTTATGTGTGAGTACTGTTGTCCCGTCAGAATTTCAGTTACAGTCAAAGATTCTCTCCGAGAGCAGCCGCAAATATGAGGTGATCGCCTTAAAGAAAAGGGTAAGATGTGTTAGTAGCCGATAAGTACATGGCAACACATAGGAAACTTAACTACGAGAAAGTCTTCACTATTCTGTAGCACCACTAGTTACTTTCTCGTGTACGTGCGTATATGCGGAGTAATTAGGTAGAATAGAGAAAGTTATGTAATGCTGCAGAAACTCTATTTCGATATTTAAATGGATATGCACGTTTTGGGGTCCCTGATACCGAAAAGTTTCAAAACGTCCGTCCGTGTGTCTGCCTGTAAACACCACTAGCGCCTAAACCATACGTAGAATTTATTTCCAAAATGGATGTTCCCTAGTCGATCTTGCTCGACTCGACGTTTTTAATAACTTCTTCAAAATGTGAGGGTACTTTATATAAAGTACCCCATTTTACTCAAAAACGGCTCCAAATTGTTTCTTTAAATTTCATGGAAGAATAGAGTGAAATACACTTACAAAGGTAGCATAGGTCCGATGTTCACTGTTAACTCCAAATTTTCAAAAATTGCAAAAGTTTGATTTTTTCTGGCGACGTGCTGCAACTACAAAATTGAAGATAGATATTTTTTTCCTTCAAATAAACTTTGATGTTCATAATTTGTTCTTGCGCAAAGGTCATATAATTTTTTTTGAAAATTTTAGTTGTTCAACATGTGATATGTGATATTTTGTGCAACATGTGATATTTTAAAATATAACAAAAACAAGATTTTCTAAAAAACAGCTCCAATTTTTTTAACGTTCGTTAGGGATAGTGATAAATGTACTATATGAGATAACGAACGTCAAATTGCTCTGTTAATTTTTTTCAAAAATTACAAATTGTATTTCTTTACTTGTTTCTCAATATTTACATCAGCAGCACTTCGTTCACATTATTGCATTTATGATTACATGTGCTTTAAATAATGTCATTTAAAACTTCTCGAAAAATATAAACACTATTGCATTTGTGGGCTAAAGTGCTTTAAATGGCTTCCAATGATTTTTTTTAAAAAATGAAAAGTTTTTTGTGAAAAAGAGCTTCAATTTTTCATTTACAGTAACGCATGAACGCCATTTTCTTAAAAACGGCTGCAAACTTTCCAATAAATATTGCTAGAATCGTGTAGGTTCGATTTGTTCTCAGCCGGGATTCCGCCAGCCCACGGTGCTGCCACGGGTGAAAGATATTACAACGTACCTCTTCCTACGTCCTGGTCCATGATTGATGTGCTCGTGAGCACCAAGCAGGCTCCGAGTGTTCATTTCGTTCCGATAGCTGATAACTGACTAAAGATGGATTTTTAAAGGAGGATCTCCTCCCCACATGCCTTATAGCTGTAAAACCGTTTCTCCTTGACACCGCAGCGCTGTGCTACGTGGACCATTACTATAAAAGGCAAATGCTGGGAATGCCTCCTCTAAGCAGTTTCGAGTATTCACGTCGCCTAAAAATCGAGCGTAGTTCAAAAACTCGATCAAAGAATATCCGATAACTGAACTCAAAAGGAACATTTTTCTTCTAGCATCAAAGAAAATATTGCATTTGATACTTACGTTGAAAAGAAGAAAAGGTGTGAGGACATTCCTCCCTTCCCACCCCTGAGAAACCGCCACTGATATGAAATCATTTTGAAATCAAAGGGCCTCCGTCGAGCGCTCTCTCCGGCGTCTCGTGCTCTTCCAAGCAGTGCACCTTGTCATGCTCTTAAGCTCTTTTAATTACCTCACTTTACTCTTGCGTTTATTCTTTGACCAACCTTGTGCTACAGCATAAGTTTTCGCACCACAACGAGCCACTGACTTACAGCACCGAAGGGTGGGTGGTTTGGCCGCAGAGGGTGGCGCGGAGTCCGAGGGAAATAGCAATTTTCTGTCTTCGTCTGAAACTAGCTGAAACTTAATTTTAAGAATTTTGTGTGTTATAGAAAGTAAGCAAAGTAATCAAAATGTTCATTTGATGAGTTCGTTGTGTAAAGTTGGCCATTCTTGAAAAAGCCTCTTTCTGACTGCTTTTGCATTCGGTGTGTAAGTCTTCTTGGCAGCAGCGACAGTTTGCAAGCGTCAATGTGAATAGGTACTAGGTGTGTAGGTGAGCGTGGAGGATTATTTTCTACAATTCAATAGGGAATGGTGTTATTGACATTGTCAATCACCATATGTCCTTCATGAAAGGCACAAATAAGGCAAATAGCCAAAATCTGGAGCTGATTTGCCTTAAATAGTTTTTAATACATGGGAGTGAATATTTTTTCCTATCAGTTCTTGCCAAAAACACTTGCTTTGGAAAATGTGCAAAGAATACCCTATAGTACATCAAACAAAGCTTTAACTGTTTTTGACATTTATTAAAATAATACAATATATAATTAATCATTTTTTTCGCACTCCATATAATGGAAATGAAGCAAAAAATATACCTCTGTTCTTCATATCATCAACAGGATGTACTTAAATAGACTTTTTAACGGAAAGACCCGATCAAATTTGCTAATGTTATTTTTTCCAAATTCCATCTCCTTATTCCTTTATTAGTCAAAAAGTTATTATGAATCATACAAAGGAGTGAATACTAAAATAAAATAGAAAGATTAAAGAAAATATATTTTTTATTAATTAATATTTCAGAGATAATTCTTCCAGTTTTAAAAAAACATTAATTTATTTACACAACAATGAAAAGCTGTAGAAATGCAAGAACAATGCATATCATATACTGAGCATTAAGAAGTATTCACAAAATGTTTTATTTTACATTACATGTCCAACTACAAAACTCCACTGCAAAAACCAAACTTGAAAACAACACTGTCTAACAATGGAGATTTTAAGAATGGATTATTTTTATAAGAATTTCAAACAAATTGTGTCTATTGGAATAAATTGTTAATTCCCTGACTATTGGTTGTATTTCATTTTACTATCAAAGGATCTGAAGAAGTCTATGATTTTTTTTAGTCACATATATTCCATCTATAAATGTTTCAATCATCAACATGGAATACTGAAAACGAAATTGTTATGAGGACATTAATGAGAACTGTACAGCATGGAAAAAACATAAACTACAATACAAAATGGTCAGAAATAAAATAATTATGAAATAAAACACTTAACTACAATGTACTAAGCAGAATTGAAGTAATCAGAAACTTGTTCATATCACAGCCAATGAATGTTCTTAATCGTGGGATTTGATTAATAATATAATTTATGTTGCAGTTGTTAAATCAAGATCACTTGATCCTGGCAACAACTCTCTTCTGCTTCTAGAACGACGTGGCCACTGTGACTTGACTGGGCAGAGATAAGGATGAAGAAAACGAGAACATGCCAAGTATGCCACAATAATAGCTGCCACACTTAGGAAAGCTGTTACAAGAAACAGAAAAATATATTATACATGTAGCACATCAGATAAAAATGTATTTTTTCATTAACTATGCTGTTTACACTGAATACACTCTGACCTCACTACCAAAATCAATTCTTATAGACAAAATTTTGAATTAAAGAACACAATTTACAGCTTTAGTGATAATTTACACATATGTGTATTATAAATGTGTCATTTTTCAAATTACTGAAATGCAAGAATTTGTGCATTTTGGTCAGTGTTCTAAGTCATCTTCCACATAATAATAATACAGAACTTACCTCCATTGTGACAGAAATTGCAGTCAGAGCACTAGCTACATCATCTCTATGAACACAGTTCATGGGATCTGACATCACATGAAACACACTATTAAGAGATACATGTGGAAATCTATGAAATGTAAAATGGACAAGCTTACCATTGCACAAGGCAAATGGACCCTCAGGAGAACAGAGGACCACCACATGAGCTACTGCTGAACATACACTTCTACTGTTTGATCAAATATTACTTTAAGTCCTTCTAGAAAACATAACTGTGTAAAAGAAAAGAAAACAAAAGCATTAGCAATCTACAAAATATATTATCCAAAGTTCATACTATTTCATATGTAATTCACTGTTGTATATATTAATTTTATATATTCCAATATTCTAGTTCGAAACATTCAATCTATTTTCATCTATTTGCAACAGGAATTAAGATCTGACATATATTTATGTTGAAACGTTATTTTCATTTAACAAAAACCTATTGCTACATACATCTCTGAAAGAATCTGTTAATTTCACCACTATCCTCTGATATAACCCATTACATGAGTTTAAATTCCAAAACCTTCAAAAGTGTCTTTGGTTGAAGAAGTGGAAAACAACTCTCTTAAGTACACTCAATAGTACACATATCATGTATTTAAATTTCCCTGAAATGTTCTATCTAATAACAAATATTTCTTGATTTTATATCTAGAATTATAAGTTTATTTCTTCAATATTTTATTTACTAACTACTCACCAGAACGGTTCCAGTGTCAGATGGTTCCAGAGCTAATTGGTGACAATTGAACTGACTTGGTTCTCAAATCCCTATGAAGTAAGACTGTGGTTCCAAAATAACTTGAAATACTCTCCATCCATCACGTGCTAACCAAGAAGCTAGCTGAAAGATTGTCTCTGGCTTTGTGTCAAGACAGGCAACACTTTCCTGATTCCAAAAAGCATCTGATATATTTATCCCATGTGATCTCACAGAATTATTAATCATCTTTACTACTTCTTGAAAAACCTGCAACCACCATCAAGAATGATCATACTTTCCACAAACCATTTAAACATGTCTACTTCAGAAGAAATGTATCATTATTCATAATACATTAATAATATTTTTAAAAAGAGAAAAATCATCCTTGATTTTTCAAAAGAACGAAGGACTATCATATCTAATTTTACAAATTGTACATGTACATTGTTCAATGAATTATTCTAATTATGAAGATGTTCCTTCAATATAATCTTGCTTATTTTAAAACTACTGACCAATTTTGTAGCAAATCAATTTTTTATAAAACATCAAGACATCTCTACTAAAGCAAAAGCACAGTAAGGTGCAACTTTGCTTCTTAATAAATCTATTTTATAAACGAAAGAAATAATATATTTATTTGTTACCCAAACATTTTCAATTTAATTGCTTATACGATAGCAATTCAAAAAGTAACAGCAAACAAACGGTATTAAACGCAATTAATACTTGAGAGATATTTGAAACTATCGGGACGTGAGGCCGCGTGTGCCCCCGTAGCTGTGAGCACCGTAGAAAAACAGCATGCAGAAATACGATTTTTGTGGCGGAAGGGCATCCAATCCATAGAAGGGTGTTGGAAAGGCACGCGAGTTTCATTACATCTCACGCGCGCCGCAGCATCACGCGAGGTCGTTGAGCCTTTGTCAAGGGCCGCCATTCACCCTGAGTGCGTCGCCACCACCACCGCGCGTACCTCGCCTCGCCACCCACGGCCGCGCCTACCCTCGCCTAGCGGGGACGCGAGGTCCTTCTGAACACAGGTTCGCGCTAGCCGACAGAAGAATTTGTCGGCGAAAGATTGCAAAGTTTTATGACCTCATTTGCCTCCTCAGAAGCACCTGCCATCCACAGGCGAGTATAAGGCTTCCCCTAGCCGCACACCACGCCAACTAGGAGATTGTCGAGAGCCGTTCCCCAAAGGCCGTTCTACACACCTTAGGCCCGTCCCGTCCTCGAGCGCCTCGCTGTAGCCATCATCACGGTGTCGGGGGGCGGTTTTCTATGTATTTTTGTGTACCACCGCACCCCCGTCAGATGGCTCAGAGGCTCGATTGATTCAGATCAGCCATTTGAGTTTGTACGCACAGGTTCACGCAGTCAGTCGCGTCGATGTGAACGCCGAGTTGTGCTACGCTGGAAGTTGGTACATTTGTCTTGCCACTCATTATCATGACGCAGCGACATTAACGGCATCAATCAGGGGTATAGGCTGCCCATCTCGCCGTTAATCAGATCTGCAGGATACCCTTCTCGCCGTTAATCAGGGGGCTACAGGTTGCCCATCTCGCCGTGAATCAGGGGGCTTAAGGCTCGCATCTCGCCATTAACTAAAGCTGCAAGCTCCTCATCATATTCCTTACTGGCATATTTTCGTGTCACACGCGCGATTTTAGAATGACTGCCAAATTAGTCAACGGCAGCACGCATTGCCTGATCATTATGTTCGGGGACTAGAAGCATTCGCTCAGACAGTGGTGTACCGTGTCATATGCATCCCATCCACAACGCAGCAGGACTCCAGATCCAGCAAACAATCGGATAGAGTGCAGCGCCTCCTTACAGGTACTTGTTTCTGCCTCCGGGAGTGCCGAGCCAAGCAAGTCAGTTGGGTTCAAATTCATCCTAAACAATGCACTTATTAATTGAATTGAACGTTTGGGTTCGTCATTAGGAAATAAACTTTTGATCATTTTGATAATGCCAAACAATTTTATAAGCTGTTCTTTGTACATTACAACTTAAGTTTTAGAAACAGTTTTCTTTTATTAATAATTCACCGCTCCGGCCCGGCAATTATCAACGTATCGTCACAGGAGACGAAACTGGGTGAATCTCTACGAGCTAGAACGCAGAAGACAGTCTTCAGAATGGCGACACACATCTTCTCCAGCCAAGAAGAAATTCACGTCTTATCCCTCTGCCGGAAAGGTCCTTCTCACCCTCTTCTGAGATATGAATGATCCGATTTTGGAGCATTCAGTAAAGGGGCGAAACAGTGAACAGTGCTCGGCACAACGCCATGTTGGAGAATGAGAATACGGAGCAGTCGCAGAGGACTTCTTTCTAGAGGCGCTCTTATCTTTCACAAAGCGAACTCCCACACCGCCACCACAACTCTTGCCATCATTCGAGATTTCAGGTCTTACAGCGTACGCAACACGTGTTTGGAGCCATGAAAGACGCTCTCAGAGGACGACTACTTGAAGGCGATGATGAGCTCAGCGAAAGCTTTGTTGCGGGTACAACCGAAAATCTTTTACTTGAATGTAATAGAAAAGTTGTGAATCGAAGGAGGGTAGTTATCTTGAAAAATGACATATTGTTTGTATCTGTAAGTGAAATATATGCTTCGTAAAATACGTTTGCTGTTACTTCTGGAATCATCTTCATATTTAATATAATTGATTATATTTAATACAAGCAATGAAAAACGGCATTAAAGAAAAAATCTCAGAAATGTCTGTAAGTACTTAAAACTAACATTAATTTTAATAGCTTTTATTTCTCTTCAATTGCTTGTCAACTTATGAGCATTTCCCCTTGGCATTAAGTACCTCCAACTTTTTGAAATTGTGCCAACTGTTGAAAGTACATTTGATATCAGAAAGGTATGAACATTGATGTTTCAAAAGCAAATATTACATTGTGAAAACGAGATACAATACCTTTCTGGGAAATCTAAGATTTGTTGTACCACTGTCTACAATACTTTTATCATTGTTAAATTCCTCACAAGGTATATTAACAGCTACATCATCAACCCAGACTCCAGTGACGATGACTTCATAGAACCATTCTCGAATAATAGTGGCACAAAATGGTGGCTTGGGAAATGGAGGATGTAATATTTCCAGAACGCCGTGCACCTCCATTGAGTTTTCTTCAGAAGAGCAACCCAACTGAAGTGCGAAGGCACTGGGGGAAATGGCAGTCAGCCAAGACGTGGTGGTGCCACGCGGCTGGGCAAGAACCCCATAGCCCAGCCCCATGATTCCCTGAAATCACAAAATCGCTGATGAACATTGCTCATATTTAAATTCACGATTTTCATGCACAATCAAGTTCTAAAATATGCGTTCGGTCATGAACTTTCAAAAAGTTAATATGCACAAAAGATAAAAATGAATTAACAATATGCAGATTAAAATTTTAAATTTTTTAACCATTGTTTTTCGATGGTCATTTAACGTTTCCCCCCAGACTTTCTTCAGTTGAATTCATCCGTTCCATTCATCAATCCAAAATTGTTTTTGAATGTCGAAAATTAACTTTCTACGTCACAAAACGTAATAGCGTAATACTATAAGGATATTTGACATTTTACACATTAAAAGTCAGAACAATATTACCTATATGAGTGGAATGTCTTCTCCGCAATCTTCTCCCTTCCACTACACAGTTGATGTGAGAATTTCCCGTCCTTTTGCGGGGTACTATTATGGCGTAAAGTAAAGGAAGCAAAGGAAGAAAAAAGTAAAAGAAGAGTGTAGAGAAAGTATTGTATGCCTAGTGCATAAAACATTCATAGGATTATCTCCAAAATGGATTTTTCCCGATCGATCTGGCCGCACTCGATGCCATACGAATTGGAAACTGATATTTTCATTTTTGGGAGTTCTTTACGAGATGCACTAGGCCAATTTTACACATTTTCTCAAAATTGGTTCCACATTTTTTCTTTCAAATTTCTGGTTGAATAGAATGAAGTACACTAATGAAAATGGCGTAGAAAAATGATTCACTTATTAATGTAGACTACATACCTGCCACTTTGAACCATTGGTAAAAAAATCTTCAGACTCTTGAATTAGAGCTATGTCGCATCGTACTCGAGAGGCATGAACACTAGGCACTTGCACTAGGTCACTGCCAAGCATACCATGCCATGTTCCCTGGGTGTAAGTAACTGACACAGACTGTCCTGTGGCTTCATAGGTCTTTGATCTATGAATAAAGAATACAGAGAATTAGATAAAATTATCGAAGAAAAATCTGTAATACATATCATGTCATATTGTAATCAAGAATGTAAGAATCTCCACATGACTACTTTTTGATAATTTTTTTGTATCAATAGTTACATAACATAGGCCATCTATTACGAGAAAAATCTCACAAGTCCTTCGGCTATGATAGTTTCTACAAAAGAGAGATATTCGGGAATCGAACTCGGATCTCCTTGGTAAAAGCGACTTCAATCAGAGCCTCAACATGACCATAGCTTCCTTGAAATCTTTTTAAAATATCTTACACTACAAAATGTAACAAAGAATCTAGGATTACTTACTTGCCTCCTCAAAGGTAGGGTCACACTCTTTACCTATTACCCACTCTCTCGCGCTAAATTTACTTTCCGTCCTCAGCGAATCCCAGGTACACTACACTTCATAGAAGCCATTCACATCTAGCAGAACTTTATAGGAGGGCCATCTTATGAAGGAATGAGCGAGTGAACTTCAAGTTGGTTTCGAACGCCGCATACTTCGAGGGTCGTTGGCATAGTCACACATACATACACAAAGAAATCTCTAGTGGTGGTCGTTTTAAACGGGTCAATCTGCGAAATGTGCCTGGCCGTTGGCCGCGTGGCCAGAGCGCCACCACGCAGGCCAGCAAGTTCTGCTCAGCGGGGTTTAAAAGGGGAGGCGCCACAGCCGAAAAGCCAGAATTGTTCTAGAAAGAGTGATAGTGTCCAGCTGCGAGTGGAAAGTTTAAGTATATAGTGTCGACGGATTGTGCGATGAAAGTGATATATAAGCCTCACTTGATACAAGTCGTCTTGTGTATAATTGTATGTTCTGTTGTCTCAATTATTTGGGGTTATTTTGTCAATTATTTTATTTCTATTGTATTATTTTGTTATTGTAACATATATACTGGGTATATATCAATTAGGCCGATTCCACCAGATTCTCGGGAAATAGGTAAACGGTACAATTCTGAATATTGTTCAAGTGATGATGGTGCAAATGAATTTTTTATTCATATATATATACACACATATATATACATATACATATATCTGGTGGACTAGATACGTGCGTGTCCTATTACAATATAAATAATACAGTAACACAATAACAAAATAATACAATAGAAATAAAATAATTGACAAAATAACCCCAAATAATTGAGACAACAGAACATACAAATATACAAAAGACGACTTGTATCAAGTGAGGCTCGACTCGTTACGGATATGATAAGGTACTAATAATTCCACCATTAGAGTGCTCGAAGAATTTAGCTTGAACTCTTCATTTATAATAAATGCCCGTAATTTCAGAATTGATGAAATAAAAATGCACAGATTTATATCTTTCAGGGTTTAGCTCAAACAATTGGAAAAGGATTATACATCCTTGTGGCAAGGTCCTCTAAGTCCTTTATAAATAGGGCACTCACATAAAATATGTTTAAGGTTTTCATCAGCATTCATGTTACATAGCGAGCATATTGAGAAGTGTATATTTTGTGCCACATATTTCTACTGTTGATGTTGATTTCTTGTCATTGGACATCCTGATTTGAGCGACTACTCTATTAATGCAAGTGGGGAGAGCCAAAGTTAGATATTTCTCTATAGAATTAAAAACTTGGAACGAAGAAATAATACATTTGGTCGAGAAAGAACTAGGTTAATCAAACGAAAGTATAAGAAAGAAATACCAAATCACTCAAAAAACTAACCTTTCAAATATAAAGAACTGCACTGCCTTTTGAAAAACTGTCCGTGAGTTAAGAGGAGAAAACGTAAGATTTGTACAATCCTAAAAATGTAATAGATATCTACTGGGTGTATATCAATTAGGCTAGTCTTTCGAACTTCCACCATATTCTCGGGAAATAGGTAAACGGTACAATTCTGAATATTGTTCAGGTGGTGATGGTGCAAATGAAAATTTTTATTCAGAGTTATACGAGTTCTAAATTAATCATGTCGATATGGTAATATAAATAACGTACAAGTCATAAAAATTCGTCATTTTTTAAAAACTAAAATACATTTGTAGTCTTTAACATGTAGAAGTTCCTGGTTCGGTAGGACCAACTTGGGCGCCGCGCGATCACACAGGCTTGAAGAGAAACTTTTTTATATGTTTATTAGTACTCTCTGACTTATTTCTCATAAAAAGGTAAATATTATTTTAGGGCCCTTGCTAACAAGTCAATTTTTTTCTAAACTTCTTTTAGTGAAGCCCTGACCCTCTTCTCATCAACAGAGAGCATAGATTCCACATGTGAACTCTAGCAACAACATTTAATTAAATACAATATATTCTGTAACCTATAAGCAAATTAAATCTAGACATTATCATTCATTGTACCGAAATAAATAGCGATTTTTCCCGTTTCCCTGAGTCTAAGCATAACCAAAAGTTGAAGTCAACTTCCTAAGGTATTACAGAAAATCTATCTAAACCGGGACCGGTTTAGACCTGTACAAGCCGGAAACATGCCATAACACTAAAATTTCTCCTGCCCGTTAGATTAAATGGCATTTTACAAAGCATAAAACGAAATCTGTACAACGCGGAAACAGAACGGTTTTTCAGGTTTTTCGGTTTTTCTGTGGTTGAGGCTGCGAAATACTCGTAGAATATGTTGGGAGAGCAATTAGTAGAAGCTGCAAAGAAACATCGCCTCTTCTATCAGTAGTTTTTTATCAGACAAGAGTGTTCAGGAAAAGAGACAACACACAATTGACAAAGATTGTTACTTGGAGAAAGAATTAACGAGTATTGAAGAGATCGTCACATTTACCTCTGTCCAGACGAAATCAACCGCTTCTTTACGAATTTCGTCGTTTTTACCTCATATTACGACTGCATCCAGTGCCTGGCACGCCCTGAATCGAACCTTGAACGCGTCCAACACGTTTTTACTAAGCTTTCTGCACTTCGCCTCGGATGATAATGCTAGCTTTGACTTTAACCTGGAAATCTGGGCATTCTCAGAATTCTGACAATGTTACACACGATTCAAACGAGGAGCTGCCCAGGAGCTGATGCGATCTTTCGGTGACGCTCCGAACTAACAGGAAGCAGTTAATAATCTACGTTAAGGCACTTTGTTCGAAAGAAGTGAGTATTTGGTCAACAAGAAAGAAACTCGCGCTGAAGTAAAATTATAATTTAAGTAAAATCTCCAGAGCGCGAAGTTTGACATGTATGATCTTTTCCTCTGAAAGGCCATCAGAGAACATCAAAAGTGCCCTATTAAAAATCAAGTGCCAGATTTGAAGCAATTTGGCGGTCAATGTGCCAACATCAGTCGTCTTGCAGGGGAAAAATCTTTCATAAAACGGAATTTGTTCGAATTTAATACAATTGGCAGAGAATCGCGAGTCAATCTTCATAGAATGAATGCACCCGCAAGTCTGTTTAATTTCTCTGTCCCAGTGATGTACGTTTCAACCGTGGCAGCCGCACAGTGAAGGCGGGGAGCTTCAGATGTTAGCATAGAATTCGTCCTTGGTGCCACTTGTCTCTCAAGGGCTAGGTCCTACGGGAATCCCCTATCTCCTGGCTTTCTGAGCGTGGGAAGGTGCACGAGCATAGCTTGTATTCACGCATCTACCGGTCCCTCTGACAATTGTAACTCCTCTGCCAGATCCACATTGGTCAATACCATGCTTAAAAAAGGCATAATGTTCTGGGTTGTGACGCATTGTGTGCGTTGAAAGTGTCCGGGTGCAGACACTAGGCAATAAGATTGTGTGTTTTTATGAGTTTCACAACCAGGTTATGGTTGAGAAAACCCTAAATATTAAAATTTTCCAACTTCAGGAAACATAATTGAAAAGGTGTTAGTATGTGGGAAAATAAAAAAGTAAAATACTTGAAATGCATGTTGGAAAAAATAATATTATTTTAGTGATAAGAACAAGAATAACGTTTTCCTTTTAATTGTCAGAAATGTGTTTAATATTCATTTATTGGTGACTTCTTCTATAAATATGTATTAATATATTTGACAAATTTTACTGTACTTATAATCTGAAGTACTTACATATTGCTCTGGAAGAATTTTTCCACATTTGAGAGAGGGGCAGCAGCAACAGCAAGATTGGCACTACCAGTATCCAATAAAACATTCAGCTGAAAACAAAAGGTGCTATCTTAATTGGATTTATTAGTTGAATATGTTTGTCTTTTATTGTCTGCGTCAGATTTATATTTATACTATTATTATTATTATTATTATTATTACTATTATTATTATTATTATTATTATTATTATTATTATTATTATTAATGAGCAGTGCTGTGTTGAATGAAATGTAGGTGTACGAGATATTTCAGTTCAGGTTGCAAATAGGGTTTTGTTAATAGGTTCGATTCGGTTCAATTTTTAACTAGTGATGCTAAAACAGCACATACTTGTTCGCCTTTAGTAACGGCTTCGTAGTATTATACCGCAATTTCTGTGCATAACAACACATCTCTGTCGATGGGCGCAGGCAATAATAAGCGAATGCGGCAAAGTGCGCTGGCAACAATGGACACATTTTCTTATCAATTCTGGCTAAAGTCGCTATTCTTGCCATAAGAGGAATTGTTTTTCAGTTTTCATTTTTGTGTTTTTTTGAAAGTTCTTATCGGACGTTCTTTGATAACATTATTGCTTCTGCTACGAATTAATAAAATTATTAATCTCCGTGTCTATAAGTGTATTTTAAACGTGGCCCTGAAGGTCGCGGCAATGCCGCAGACGCACTACTACTTCGGAGACGTAGGAGAGTGACAGGACTCGATTACCTGTGCTTCTTCTCCTGCAGTGTCACAGATCACGAGGGAAAACTACTACGGAAGAACATCTCGGCACCCGACCAGCTTCACAACGCCCTGGTACGCATTAAAGACGCGTTACCATCTCTCCAGTGGCACGAACTCCAGGTTCGGAGTTCTCTGCAGCTGCGGTAGGACGTACGTCGTCGAGTCCGGGCGCACAATGTCCGAACGACTCACGTAACATATTACCCAATAACAAGAATTACACCAACCGTTCGGTTACAGCACTCCGAGGTTACTGGACATGTCATCGATTTTGACATTACCCAGCTCCCGCACAGGGAAAACCGATACAGGACTAGACGCATCTAAGCAGCACTGAAAATCAATAGACTGCCGCAGAAAACCGTCGCGGACGCTGGTCTCAACCTAAAGTACTCCCGGAAATATTCTTCATGTCTTCCGGGCTGATGGGCCGTGGTCCAATTGGCTTTGGGATGCCAAACGTTTCGCCCACGACTGCGGTGGGCATCTTCAGTGGCGAGGTCTCGGGCGAAGTGTCCGGGCCGGTGGCTGACTGGCGACTGACTGTTTGGCATCCCAAAGCCAATTGGACCACGGCCCATCAGCCCGGAAGACATGAAGAATATTGACTCCGGCCGTGAAAGCCTACAATGCTGTATACTCCCGGAAATATTACCACCAATCCGAGACTGTGCGGGCGCTGCTCAACGCTCTCCGACCACGAGGACGGCTGGCGCATGGCTCGGGCTGGCACAGAACGTTAGCCAAGACCAGAGGGACCCTTCCGCCAATCACGGCGCACCAGCCCCGACCGAGCACCCAGGCCAGACAGAACATAATACGCGGGGCGCAGCATAGCTATCACGACCAAGGCCACGACTACTCTGTAGGGCGCGAATTGTGCCGGAGAGCATCCAGCTAATTGCAGAGGCTGTCAAGAGTATATCCAAATAGTAGAAAACAATTACAACTCCAAAAACGTTTTTTTAAAAAAACGCGAAGTAGCCGCCGCCCGCGCCAACGTCCCACTTCTGACTCAAGATGCATTTCCGAACCTCAGACAAGCAGGAGCTCCCGCTAATATGTTCGCCTGGGGTAAGCAACCCGCACAACAACAAAGCACCACCAGTGCGCAGTCCGCAGGCGCTTTCTCTGATCTAAAAGAACTGTTTGGAGTACGTAAGCAACTAAATCTACCCAAAATCGTTCAGTGAATCAAAAACAGCAGCCCGAATCATGAAATACCCAGGCGACACGTTGACAAAATTAATGTCTGCAATACAAGTAGTAGCAGAACTTTTTTAAATGACGACTATAACTAATCGACTATATAACATCGCTTCCTGGAATGCGCAAGGCACTGTAACTCGGACGAAACGCAACATCACACAGTTCTGCAATGACTTTAGTATAGCAATACTTTTAATTCAGGAGACACTTCTAAAACCTAACAGATCTTTCTCTCTTCGAGGATACCGTGACGACCGTCAGGGCAGCAAGAAGGCGGAACTACCAACTTAATACGACAAAACCTGCCGCACACGCGACTACAAACAACACAAGCAACAATAGTCAAACTTGGCCCTACAACGGGACCCGTATTTTCCATATCGACCTACAAAAGCCCCAACAAACAACTTCAGACAGCCGACCTGACTACTTTCTGCTCCCTCGGTGCGACAATAGTACTCGCCGGCGACTTAAATGCAAAACGACTAGAATGGGGCTGCAGGCGAAACTCACAAGCCAGCAATATATTATCTGACTTTATTCTCTTCACTAATACGCTCTCCATACAATCACCCTCCGGCCCCACGCACTTTATTAACCACCTTCCTTACGACATTCTCGACCTTGTCATCCACTCTTCCTCTCTCCCTCCCCGTTTCAAAACCCGTATTTGATATCCAATCCGACCATCTCCCGATTATCTTCGCTCTCTACCTCGGCGCCTACCCTGAGGCAACCCACCGAACACCAAAACCAATCACTAATTGGCGCGAATAGCACAACAGACTTGCGCATATACTCCACGACTCCCGACTCCCCTACCAACAACAGACGAAATCGACACTGCCTTAGGCAGATTCATCAACCAATTACGCTACGCTTACCACAAATTCACTGACAGACAAGAACAAACAACAAAAAGAGATATACTCCCAAGCAACATAATCTTGCAAGTTCAAGCGAGAAGACGAGAACGAAGACGCTACTATGCCACCCGCGACCCGATTGACAAAGAAAACTTTCAACGCACGAGACGAGCAGTGTCAAGATTACTAAAAGAACATAGAGCAGACAAATGGGACAGCCGATATAAAAGACCGATCCGACATATGGAAACGGCGATATGCATATTTATGAACTCGTCTCTTCACGCTTGTTTGAATGAGCTAAGAAAATCTGTAGGGTTCCATTTAAAAAATCGACGTTGGGTCAATATCTCTGCAATAAAAAATGCAATAGAATAATAGTATGCATGACTATATGTGCCCCTTGCATATATAGTAGTTTCAGTGAAAACCGCATCTCAGTATCTGCAATGGTTCTGGAGAAAATTGAAGGGAACATCTTAGGTGGGCCACGCGGTGAGTGTGTACACGCACGCACGCGCACACACAAATATATATATATATATATATATATATATATATATATATATATATATATATACACACCATATATATAACTGTTGCGAAATTCATCATACACGGAAGCACTGACTCTCGGTCTAGGAGTTACACCACCATCAGCTAGACTTAATAAAACAGATGTATCTTATCCCCGCCAACATCTCGATTTTCGACAACAATTAGCTTCTCAAATATCGATGCCGCATTGTTGAGGTCTGTCTATTAAGCTTTGCAGATTGCGTATTTCAGATTTCAAATTGGTTTCGTAATAACAAATTAACAGTTAACGAAAAGAAAACTGTTTTTAATGAAGTTTTCCATTTAAAATAAACAGCTCTACACTTCACTGAGAATGAACGGTGTGCCATTGACAAGGTAAGGTAAGGGCATTGTTAAGGTAAAAAAATTGTTAGATCTTTCAATTCAGACAAACCTTAAATGGAACGTCCATTTAAATGAATTGAACACTAAATTAAGTTCTTTATGCTACGCTTTCAGAATTCTTTACAGAACGCTTTCAGTCAGCCTACACACTGCTCGTTGTGTATATTTCGCGAATGTTCATTCCCACCTGAGATATGGCATAATATTCTGGGGATGTACATCTAATAGCTCCCTGACGTTTAGATTACAAAAAAGAATTGTATAAGCAAATACCACCTACGCGATTCTTGTAAGCCTCTTTTAATTAATCTAGGTATATTACCATTACTTTGTCTCTTCATATATGAATCAGTGTTTTTTGTCAAAAATGACTTACTTAAAGGCGGGAATATAATTTCTGCACACGCCGATGTCTATAACTACAACACTCGAAGTAGTAATAATATTCATCAGGTGACAGTATCAACAGCTTACTACAAAAAATTCTCACACAATACATGTACATTACTTTACAACACCTTGCCAAATGACATTAAATTCGATACAAGTCCCAAGTAAAATGTTTTCTGCTGCACAACCGTTTCTATACAATTAAAAACTATACCGAGTATCCAAAAGGAAAGTAATATTAATTTTAACAATGACATTTATTATATTTATTGATAACATTGATAACATTGACATTTAATATACCATTTGGATTGTATAATTGTAAAGCACATGTAACAAGTATACTAAAGTACAAGGATACTTCAGCTTCTGGGTCAATGACCCCCATCTCGATTAGGTTTTCGTCAGTTTTCCTGATCCTCGAGCAAATGCTGAGTTGGCCCCTTGTTTTGCTTCTGGACATAAATGTAACTTCAAATTAACTTCTCTCCATAGCACGTCACACACAGCTGTTAGCTGTTTTTGACGTAAATAAAATTTAAAAAATAAATAAAAATAATAAGAAATACATCAATACATTGAGAATACAAATTGAGTAAAAAGTAAAAAAGCGAGAAAGTAAAAAGAGAATTAATATTGGCATTTTCAATAGTAAATTATAATTAAAATTTAATTATTGTTCATATCATTCATTCAATTTTCCCTTAGCCCGTAGTTGGTGCAAAACCTGTATATATTTTATTATTTTTTAGCAGAAATTACACAAAAACTATTCGTTGCTTCAAAAAATTGTACGTGACATTTTTTTATTTTGTACAGCAGACTTCGTCTGAGGCAACAATCTCTATCTTCAATTTTGTAGTTTTCCTAATGTTTATGCAATTTCCGAAAAAGCAGAGGAATACCCGAAAATTGGTCTTGCATTACACTTCT